TTTGATTTGCATATTTATCTGAAGTAAAAACTTCGAAGCTACGAACAAATCTAGCCAATGTAAGCTTTGCATTGGTTAAAGCAAATCTCATTCCGATGCAAGTTCGAGGTCCTGCACCAAATGGTAAGAAAGTAAATGGTTTGGGGGAGCCTTGTAGAAATCTGTTTGGATCGAAAACTTCTGGTTCAGGATAATTCTCTGGATCATGATGTATTGCATATGTTGGTATACTAACTGGTGTGCCTTTCTTAATTTGAACATTAATACCTGGTAGAGTGGTATCAGAATGGCAAACACGTTGAAACAATAAAAGCGGAGGATCCATTCGCAATGTTTCATGTATCACAGCATCCAAGTAAGAAAGGCTTTGTAGAACTTCATAATCTTCAATGTTAGCCTGTGCGACCTCTTGATACAACTTTTCTTGAATATCTGGGTTGGTAGCAAGTCTATAACAGGCCCAAGTCAACAGGGTTGATGTCGTTTCCTGACCGGCTGATAGGAAAAGGACGGATGAACAGACGATCTCATCTGGAGTCAACTTCTTGTCTTCATCCCTTAACTTTTCCCCATCTTGGGTATCCGCTTCAGATTCAATCATCAATTGGATGAAATCATTGATTTTGTTTTTACCTTGTTTGCGTTGTTCAATGACAGCGTAAGTTAACTGTTTGATCTTATTTATATTTTCAACTGAAATTGAACTCATATCGAGAAGTCGAACCAACCATTTAGGAGCCCACGCCATGAAGAGATGCTTGTACTTGTTACTAGAATACGTTGAGTTGAAGAGCTCAAGTAACTTGTTACCCGACCTGTTGTAAACGTCTAAATTTAAAGCGAAACAACACTTTGCTATAATATCTAAATTGTATGCACTCCAAAATTGTGCAGGATTCAAGTCTGGTTCACTCGAAGAAGCCAATTTGAGCAGCTGTTTTTGAGCTTCTTCATTACATACTTTAATCAAGTGAAACATTTTCTTGATCTTTGCCGATGAAAAGGTCGGTGTAAGTATACTTCTTAAGCGTTTCCATTTTTGTCCATATAAAACTGTTAGAAAATTTCGTTCAATTGAAGAGACGAAAACTTGGTTAAATCCTTGAGGGAAACTGTGAAAATCTTTGACGCAAACAGCTCGAAGTAAATCTGGCTCAGCCAAGACCAACGCTGGATTTAAACCATTATAAGTTCTGTCGTAAATAAAACAAGAATAAAAATTTAAAATCAAATTCTTTAAATTTTTTTCAACCTTTTCTTACCCATAAATTTTTCCATAAGTTTCGACACCTTCAAGATAAACTTTCGTCAATGGTTTCGGTTTAGGCTTCGGTGAACTTGCAGTTAAAATACTCGGAATCATGGAAGGAGGCTCTGGTCCTTTGACACCTTGTCGTTCCCAGAACGATCGTTTACGCTTAACATAGCTAATGATAGGTAATAATAGATGTTAGTTAAAGTAAAATATTAAAAACAACTTTCAATGTTAGGTTGAAATCAAAGTAAATTCAAGAAACTTACAAAAAATACCAGCTAATGAAACTTATTGTACCAAGAATAATCCATTGAGATGTGGATAAATCAATAAAGTTGTTCATTTCAGCTGAATTGTTCGCTTAAACTTGAATAAATTAGTTAACTGTTGTTTACGCGATGAGATGGTTACCCTGATTGACAATGAACAAGGTAAATTAAATGCTTTTATTTATAAAAAATGAAAATGTTAATATTCTTGGAAATGTTAGACTAAGACTATTCCGTGCACAAAATGAGCTGACAATTTTACTTTTTGATAACATGAAAGGGTTTCAACTGTTGGTAGCATCAATGGTTTGCTAGACCTTACATTTTTCCCAGTAAATTTCACTGAATTCAAGGGAATTGCTCTCATTTCATTAGATTAACAGGATAAAAATGATCAAATGATAGTTAAGGGTAGCTTGTGTACAAACTATTAACAGATGAATTCTTGGAAATTCTTCTTAATTTGAGATGAACTTGGAACAAATCAGCCTTAGTACATTAACAGTCTCGACAATGGTTAAGTCTATGTTACCATTTATTGCACGTCGATCATAAAACGGCACTAATAAGCTTCTATAAATTAAATAGATTAATAGGTCTCAAGCATCATTTTGTTTTCCATCACAAATAAATGTCCACTTCAATGCGATACACTCTGAAACAAATTGCTTTTTAATTGTGAATAGTTTGCCATTTTATTTCGTTGTAAATAATGACGAAAATTATTGCCAAAGAGATTTTTAATTTTGTTAAACTTCTTCGAATTGATTTATTCTTTTTTTCGCTACTCTCAGTACTTCACTGCCAAATCTAGCTCTTGATCAACTAAGACAGATTGTCTTAAGGAGGGTCTCCAGAATTTTTCACTTTTTGATCATAAGAGTTAAGGACTCAACTTTTTTTTCTGGATAGAGTTTAACATGCTGAGTTCAAAAATTATTTCAATTTTAGATCAGCGGTTTCTGAGTTATTTGAGATCAAGTGCGCAACTTTCGAGACCATTTAAGAATTTTGACCATTTGAGAATCGATAGATCTTAATGAGGCCTATCGAATTGTGTATGAAACTTTTGTTTATGTATCATAGTTTTCGGTCTTATTAGAGCGATCCATTGATGTTTACCCTCGCATAGTTAACTTAACTTAAGACAGACAAAAATACTTCTAAGTTACTCTCCAGGTCGTGTTTGATCAGGAAAAAAGGTTTGGACAATTTCCGATTAGTTTTGATTAAGTTGTGCGCAAAACAAAAATTTTTGACAGAGAAACTTTTTGCGTGCAGAAATCAAAATTTTTACAGATTTTTCGATAATACGCGAGAAATAAAGACTTTAGACTGTTTATCCAGAATTCAGCCGCCTTATGCATCCAATCTGAAGTCCAGATGCAGCTAAAAATCTTATTTCAAGTCCGAAATTTCAAAAAATCTACAAAAATTGTGATTTCTGAGCTTAAAAAATTTCTTCGTTAAAAATTTTTGTTTTTGCACACAACTTAATCGAAACTAATCAGAAATTGTCCAAACCTTTTTACCTGATCAAACGCTACCTGGAGAGCAACTTAAAAGTGTTTTTATCCATCTCAAGTTAAGTTAACTATGCGAGGGTAACCATCAATGGATCGCTCCAATAAATGGTCATTTGTTGACTTGTTCAAGGTGTCTAGTTCTTGACTTGTTCACAATGTCAAGATTGGTGAACAATTTTTATTAATTTATTGAAAGTTTACTTTGAACATCATAATGAGGCAAATATTTTCAATTACATACTGGAAGTAGAAATGCAAAACTCCAGTTAAACTAAGAATATAAACCAATAATCAGTTGATACTCACAATTACAAAAACTTTCGAAGTCATATCCAGAAGTTCACCGAAAGTAAACGCTATATCAGTCCTTGAGAGCCGGTCTTGCAAATCAGTTCCCTGGAAATCAAGAGTTAATTCAATTATCCGTCTTTTTATGGAAATATGAAACATTCTATAATAATATTACCTTTATAGAAGCTCTTGCACTCAACTGCAAACATCTAGTCGCCTTCCTTAGGTTTTTACAATAAGAGCTCATCTAAAAGGGGAAATTGAATCAAATTAAAAGACTGAGACAACAGAAAAGAAATCCTTTTATACTTTCTTCAATATAACTCCATTGGTGTATGAACAAACTCCGATGGCCACAACGCCAATACTCGCAACAATCACAATGAAAATATCCATAAATTGATCAATGTGAACAAAGATTGCAATGTAGGCTCCCAAATCTGCAGCCGAAAGTCCGATGTACAAAAATATGAGCCAGTTTCTTATGTTTACATTAAGTTCTTCAATTTCATTCTGATATTGGGTCATCTCACTAACAATAGTTTTATAATGAAGCATAAACTCAGCCTTATTAATGTGTCCTCTTCTAGTCGCGCGACCTTCTGCAGTCCGGGTTACATGAGCAGCTTTAAAGTAAAAGTAAGACAAATGAATTGTTACTAGGGCACCAGGCAATATCGTATTGTATAAAGTAGAAACTATTCCTAGGTAATTGACGAGAATCCAAAAGCTATTGTAGATGAACTGCATGGATGTTTGCGGTAGTTGATTCGTTGAATTAACAAAGAAGATTAAGATTGGTCCAAAAGTAATCGCAATAAAATAAACAAACCAAAGCCACGCATTTGCTAAATTTATGGCAACAAAATGAAACTTTCGGCAATAACATTGACGAATCCCTTTTGAATCCTTTTTCATATATTAAATTGTACAATTTATAAGTTGTGAAATACCCGTTTTTAATCAAATATATCCATAATGTCCTAAAATTTCACCAAAAATAGAAGCACTCAGCAACAAATATCGACCATTTTTCTTGCGATAAAAAAAGTCACCAAGAACAAGAAGCCATTGATCAGGCAGATCGAGAAACTCAACAGTGCCAAATGAATGATGGAAACTGTCATCAGGCTTGAGTAGAGGATAGATTTTTGTAGTCCATTTTGATGGAGTTACACTGCATCTTGGGAGAATCCATTTAGTAAAATATTGAATGAAAAGCATATTGATTCGAGTTTTTTATCTTGCTGATTGCTTCGGCATCATCAACATCACTTGAACAAAATCCAATAACACGTACAATCAATCTTGGTATAGCCGCAATCAAATTTCCGTATGATCCTAATATAGCCGTTTGCTTAGGTCCTTGCTTTAATTTATTAATAAAAGATTTAAACTCGTCAAGAGTATTTAGTTTCATTGAAATTATACTTTAAATTACTGATTAACAAATCTTATTACACAGATCAAATGTTTCCATTATCAGTTTTCCTTTACGCCATTTGAAAATCACTTACGAATATGCAAATATTGACTTTAAAAAAGCGATACTTTTCTCCGTCATTTAACTAATGTAAAGTAATTTAGTAGTAATGTAGTAATGTAAAACTTAATGTATTCATAAACTCAAGTGATTCAATAAAATATTAAATTTGCAGATTTATAAATCAATCAGTTTTATTGTCTTTTATTTTCTTAACAGTCTACAAATGTCAATGGTTCATTGATTATAAATAGAATGCGTAAATTTACCGACTACTCAGAACAATTGATCATTAGACATTTTATTCAATCACTCATCAATTTTAGCCATCAACCTGTAATGGTTGTCTGAAGCTTCACAGTCGGAATCACAAACTGTCTTCAAGTAACGTCCAAGCAAATATACATAAGTGAGTTGTTCATATCTGTAAATTAAAAAATAAAATTAAAATTATATAATAATAACATTAATCTGAACTCTAATAACATTGAAATAAAGAAACACTAACCTAACAATCTCGGGATGCTTCAGATAAGGTAGACAAGGGTTAAAAATTATTAAAAGGTAAATAAGCAGTACAGCTTTGGGGTCATTTCTAAATCGATCTGGAAAGGTTTCGATAATATGCGTTAGACCATCATTCAAGAATCGGTCAAAAAGAAATACATCTCTTCGATCAAAAGTCAATCCAGATTCTGGAAACTAAAATAAGAGCGAAAAAATTGTAACCACAAGATTGAAACAATATTCAGCTTGATTACTTACTTCCCAACCATCAATTGCTGGATCGTAGTTGACTATTCCTTTCATGAGGAAGAGATCATAAAATGTGTTTGATAAAAGAGTTATTTTGTCACATCTTTCAAGTTTCCTGAAACCTCTGATTCCATTGCACATCGAAGCAAGTGCATTTGGATTTGCTTTTAGTTTTGAATTGCTTCTGCCAGATAAGCTTAACGTTAAATGAAAATTTGTTTTACCCTGAAAAGCAATAATCGCTTCATCAATATATAAACGTTCAAAGCGATCCAATGTTAACTGGTTGGACATGTATTCAGACTTTAAACTTATCGAAGAGAACTGAGTCGCTAATATCTGCTTAACCACATTTGGATGGCATGTTTCAGTCACCTGAGAATTGTCTGTGTTTAATGTTAGTGTCAACTTGTATCCATGTTAAACTAAAAGTATAAAGTTCATTTTAAATTTGCCTTTCTGTTAGTGACAAGTTGACGATTGGATAGAATGTCTGGTAAATTATTGCCGCTCGAATCTGGT